AGGATTGAGCAGAGACCAAGACTAGTAAAGCCTCCTGCCCTCAAAACCTCACATTCTCTTTGGGATAGTATGGGAGTGGAGCTGGATAATAATCCAGGAAACAAAGAAGGAAGGTAACTGGAGCTGACAATAAGGCCCTTGAAAGTTTAAACTGAAAGTTCAGGGAAGGCCTTTCAGCCCTCTGACCATTTGTCCCCTGCCCCCTCATACCTCTGCAGCTGCCACCCTCGCTGCTCCCCACTCACACTGTGCTTGGCCAGACTGGACCTTTGGTTTCTTTGCCTCCTATCTCCCCTCATTTTTCTCCTCTTGCTCTTTCCTGTTCCTCACTAGGTCTTTCTGGAAGCCCCTCAGTCCATCCCCCTAGACCTGGCTGAGTCCCTCTATAGTGCTCTCTGTTTCCCAGGTACTAAGCCACTGTAATTACTTGATTGGCTGTCTATGTCATTCACCTTTGAATCCCTATATCTGTGGTATATTTGGTATATTTGTGGACAGCATAAGTACATGTAGGGTGGGCCACTGAAATCTGCTAGAGAGAGACACTTGATAGGCACAGTGCTCCTTCTTTGATACCCCGGCAGGGACCCAAACAAGCTACTGTTGCAATGACTTTCTAACAGTGCCTGGATCAGATATACTCTTCTTTTTGAGCAGCTTTCTCTTCTGATAGACTGGAAGGCCCCTTAGTCTCAGTAATTTCTTACCTCCAACTCCTGATAGTACCTGGCACATAGTAGGTGCTCAGTAAGTCATAAACCAAAATACCCCCAAACAAAGAAAACCAAAATCAAACAAAATAAAATCCAAGAAGATGTGGTTTGGAAAAAGAAATGGGAACCATTTCTAAGGTAGATAAAATGAGTCCACTAATCACCCCCGTGGGAGAAATTATAGAGGAATAGAAATGCTTACTTTCCCTGAAAAGTCTTTTACCTACCTTATTGCCAAACTTGGCTTCCATTCAGTCATTTCACCTTTTTACATGAGCACATAAAACCAGGACGTTGCTCTGATTTCTGTTCACCTTGGCTTGCCCTACCCATGTAATACTGAAATTACACCTTTTCCTTTGCTGCAGGTGGAGATCACCTTTCTTTTTCTAGGACCCAGTTTTTCTTGTGCTTCGATTTGCTTCTTACTGTTATTTTGAGGTGCTTCACTAAGAGCCATAAAGTTGAGGTCAGTTTGGAGATGTGTGAGGACATAACTGGTTGTAGGCTGTCACATTGGAACCTGCTTCCTTGTTTGTTCCCTGAGGCAATGGAAATTTCTAGCCACCAGCTGATCCTGGAATTGATTTAGTGCCAGGGAGGTGAACTGTGGGAAAATATAATATTACTTAGTCATTCTCAGCAGTAGATTTAATGATTTAGAAAACATTTCCTGGTTTTGAGAGCTTAACAATACAGCCTCTACGTCTGTCAAAAATCAGAGTGGGGGGTATTCAGTAACCGGAAGGCCAGGAGAATACATACACTACATAGGGTTTGTAAAGACTTGTTTCGTCTTTCTGACCTTATGGCTACATTCTCGTTTTACCGAATTATTAATGGTAGTTTTTAACTAGAGAAGCATGCTTATACCTACGTGAGAAAGTTTGTAGAGATCATATTCATCTCTGTATCAGCTTCTTGTCTTGGTGAAAACACAGGATCAGAGGTGGGGAATGCTTGGTTTTTGTCTTAGCTCTGTTTTGAACTGTTGATGGTTCATGAGTCCCTAAGCCTCTCTAGGCCTGAGTTTACTCAACTATAAAGTGAGGGCCTCCTAGGTTCATATAGTTTGGTTCAAAAAATGCTTGCTTGCTACTCATCTTAGATTGGGTTCCCTAAGGAGAGCGGCATAGGCAAGGATTCTTGTGCAAATAAATTGCTGAGTGAGGTGACCAGGAGAGACCTGGAAGGAAGGAGAGAAGCATGATAGGTCAGGAGAAGATACCAAGCAAAGATCTAGTTTTAGCTGATCTATTCTCAGTCTGATCCTAGAGAAAACTCTAGAATATGAATGGCAACACAGAGCTCTACACATTTTAAATGTCTGTCTCAATCAGTCATTGGCTATAGGTTCCCCTCTAGGGCAGGGGGTGTAACTTCACTGAAATTCCTGGATAACACAGTGAAACAGCTGAAGGATGGGTATACCAGCTTGTTAAAAGGGATCTCAATGGGCTACCAACAGAACCTATTAGGCACCTGTGGCCTAGGTATTGGAGAGGGAAAGATTAAAAAAAGAGAGAGAGATGGTTCCTTATCATAGGAAACTCATGGAATAGTCCAGGAGATAGATGAATAAGCAAGTAAGTTCAGTACAACATGGTGAATGCTGGAATAAAAGAATATTCAGAGTGTTGTAGGAATTCAGGAAGGATTCAGGAAGCAGAATCTAAGATGGAGATAATCATGCTGGAGCCTTATTGAGGACTGTTCTTAGGATCAACATTTGCTCTCAGATGCAGATATTATATCTCCTGGAGACCCAGCAGGAGGTGTTTAAAGATCTATAATTTAAAGACCTTTAGAAGTAAAAATCTTTCTTTTGAAGTCTTGGAGGATAGAACCTCACTCCAGAAAAGTATTGCTTCTGAGCTAGTGATTCAATTGTACCTCCGTAAGGTTGTCCCAACACTCTGTCAGGTCCTATCATATATAATAGGTGTAATATATGTTAGGACATTGGATCCTATGATCTTAGGTCCATTACTACACCTTCCTTGGAGTAAAGGGCATGTCTTTGGTTGGTGTGATGTTATTTGGCCTCCTTTATTAGTGGATTAAACACTCCATGAGCTCTTCATATAGGGGTGCTATCTGAGGCAACAAAGTCAAATATATACCCAGAATATGTGTTTATTTTATTTTTTGAAATGAATACTGGCCATTCTGAGGAAGGGCTTCACTGAAGTCAGCTCAACATGAAGTGGACAGTTGGCCTCTCTTCAAGGGATAGTAACATCTTGGGGATTGGTATTGGACTCTGTTGGAGGCATGTTGGGCATTCAGCAGTAGCAGTAGCTAGGAAAGCCTTGCCAACAGGGAGCCCAGACTATTGGTTGCATACATAGTTTCAACACTGCCATCATGGCTATCTCTTTGTACCAACATATGGGGTGTAGATGACAGAGGCTGGTTGATGTAAACAGACCAAGTCACTCTGTCTGCCTGGTTGTTTGACACATATTCTGTGGTAGATCTTTTCTGGTGGCCATTAACATGCAGTATAAAGATCTTCCCTCTTCATGTGTCAATCCCAGACCTCCTTATTCCTACTCTTTCAATCTTTTGCCTCCTAGGTTCTTGACCATCTGGCCAGGCCATTTGCCACTCTCTATCAGCCTTCATTTATTTGAACCTCAGTCCACTTCTCTCTGTGTGCAAAGTGGATGGTTAGGTGTTCTACCCAAGTTCTTCTATCTGCTGGGAGGACTTTTTCTTACTAGTGTTTTCCATGACCACCACTAAGAGGAGCTATGGTGCAGCTGGAGTCTATTTTCATCATGAAGCCATATGATGAAGCTGACTCATCTATGAGCCGTGCTCAGGTGTTTTGTTTCTCCATCAGCTGGTACCACAGGATTCGCCCATGCAGCCATATGCATGAGCTGAGGAAAGGTGCTGGCATAAAAATGGTAATGGCATGGGGCTCGGGGCTACCATCTTGCGCACTTGCTTGTGCCTTCTGGTCCTATTTATGTTCAATCCTGAAGTACCACTTTCATCTTTTTCATCCATCTGTCATGGTAATCTGTTGTGTCTGTCTCACAGTGGGTTGTTGCAATTTCTGTGCATCCAGGAGCCACTTTAGCAGAGAGTTCACACCATTTCTGGTAGTCTTTGCCAGAGTGTTATATTCTATATCCTTGGAGAGTGATCCCAAACCTATAGACTCTTTCTTATCCAACGTCATGCTTTGCCCCTTGATCAGCTGTCCTGAGTCATATGTGTACTCTGGCAGCTACAGGTAGTAGAACACACATGGAGAGGTCCTATGGCTACAGTAGGCTCTAGTCCTTTACCACCCATATCAAGCCCCACATGTCCCCACACAGGTTGTGACTTAACTTTTGGTTTTGGTCTAGCGGCCAGGAGGCCAGGTGAAGAGATGGGGATGTATCTTCAGAGGTCAAATGCTGCTTGTGGGGAGAATCCTCTGCCACCTCTTAACCAAGGGGCATGCCAGCCTTCGTAAGGGAATAGGCCACTTCTGTAGGCTAAGAGGGTTCAGAGGGATCTAGGGACCCAAGGTATTTGAACACATCAACCTAGATGTCTCTAATTCCTTATGTCAAGGATCCATTCTTTCCCAACCAAGGCCTTAGCTTTGTCAGAGCAAGCCTAACAAAGATGGGACTTTAACTCTATTTGTAGTTGACTAGTCTAATGATTAATTCCTGGGTAGGAGTCTTATCTTCCACTGACTTCCGGCTGTAGGAAAGGAAGACTATATGCTACCAGGCAAGCCCTCTTGCTTTTATACTTAGCTAGTAATTGTTAACTAATCTCGCCTAGCTTTTCCTTATCTTTTTTCAAAGCTTCATTCAAATTTAGCAATACACACCCAATTCCATAGTCCTCATAGCTGCTATTTGCCCTGTATTTTTTATAGCTTGATCTTTGTTGGCTGGCTAATGTGTTCCCTTCTGCTTTTATACCAGTTCACCATCAGTGGTTTGGAATTATCCCTGTGACAGGGAAAGAAGCGGGATTGGGTACATGGAAAAGTAGACTTCCAATTCAGTTTCAACAGAAGCCTCGACCACTTTTTGAGAGTTCTGAGGAGAAACTGGCCCATCAAAGCTGTTTTGAGTTGGGGCAAGAGAACACTGAGCTTTTGTTCCCCGACATTGAATCTGTGGGCTACCCCAGGAACCAGCTGTGGCCTTGGGCAAGGCAGTTTTCCTCAGCAGGATCAATCCCCGAAGGGAGATGACACTCTAAAGTGGGATTGTCATTGTGTCATAAATTTACTAATTTATACTCCTTTTGAAAATTTTTCCCTAGCATCTTTTTATGGTGAAAGCTATGTGGAGCTCAACATCATAGAAGTTTCGTCTGAGTTCTCTCTTCAATTAAAATTTCAAACCAGCAAACCACAGGGATTACTTTTTCTTGCAGCTGGAAAGAATGACTACTGTATAATAGAACTGCTATCAGGAAACTTACGGGTAAGATTTTCTTAAATCTTTAAAAATGTGTAAGTATTCAATTACTAGAGGAAAAACCATGAGAGAGAAAGAGAACAAAATCGCTATCCATTTGATTAGTGTTATTTTATTAGAATAAAATCACAAGCCATGTGAAAAGTTGGGATCTCCTCCGATTTTACCAGCATGCCTGAAATATTCTGACTCCGAATTTTTAAACCTCATTGATGTAGTCCATACATTATGTGGAAAGTGGTTTCAAGTCCAAGTTTCTCTCTCTCTCTCTCTCTCTCCCTCTCTCTCTCTCTCTTTCTCTCTCTGTGGGTGGCCCTGTTTTCACAATAAAATGCTATGAGATGAGATTGATTAATTGTGATTCTTTCTCTTTCAGGTGAGGGTGAATTTGGGTGCAGGCGAACAAGTACTCCTTTCTGAGCAAAGACTTCGTATGGATGACCTGGTTTGGCACTTAGTGGAACTGTACTGTTTTAAAAACAGTATCTCTCTGGTTATCGACAAACATTATGAGACAACTGGCCAGATCGCTGGTGGGATGCACAATTTGCACTTTCAACATGGAATCTATATAGCAGGCCATGGTGGACTTGATGTCACTTACCTAGATGGAGAGCGCCCCAATTTCCGCGGGTGTATGGAGGATGTGGTATTTAACCAGAGGGAGATCCTTGCATCCCTTAGATCTTACCCTAGTTTTAAGAAGGTTTATGAGGTGTCACTAGGATGCAGTGATGAATTTTTTGCCGGGGAGGATGAAGCCATCAATTTCTTTAGCTCCAGATCCTATGTCACCTTCCCAGAATGGAGGGTGCAAGGGGAAGGGCTGTTGGAATTTGCTTTGCAGACTGCAACTCAACAAGCTTTGCTTTTATTTCAGTCAGGAAGAGAAGGAAGTTTTGTTGCTTTGGAAATAGTTAATGGTCTGTTGAAGGCTCATGTAGGAAGGAGCAAAAGTAATACCCAGCTCTCTTCTTTTAGCTTAGTTAGTGACAACAAGTGGCATGTTATTCAACTCAAATTCAATGGAGGGTATCTGGACCTGATGGTGGATGAGCAAGCGGTAAGAACACCGCTGCCTTTGCAAAGCAAGTCATTTGTCTCAGAAGGCCCCCTCTTTGTGGGAGGTCTTGATAACCATAAAGGAGAAGAAGTTAAGAAGTTGGAACTGGCCTCCGTGCCCAGGAAATCTGCTCAAGGAATCTCTTTCAAAGGGTGCTTAAGAGGCTTGGAGGTCAACTCAGAAAAGAAAGCATTGAAGAATGCCCTTGTGTCCAAAGATATAGCTGTTGGGTGTAAAGTGCAGAGTAGTGATAATGAAAACCCTTTCATTATGACAACAGAATACCTGCATCCATCAGAAGTTCCCCTTTCCACTGTAGTCCCTGAGGCAGGAAAGCCTTTTATTCACCATGCGAGTAGCTATTTCTTGAGTCTGAATAACTTGGAGGTCCAAGAAGGTGGGCGAGCCTTTCTGGAACAAAGGCATATGAAAGTGGATGTGGCATCCGAAGATTTGGGTATCCATCATTCTCAAATACTATTTAAAATAGAGGAAATGCCCCTGCATGGGTTCCTTCAAATCGATGTTTCTCCTGCGCAGGGAATGGAGAAGGCTTTTACTATGTTAGATTTGGGGCAAGGAAAAATTTGGTATGTCCATGATGGTTCAGAAGAACCTAGGGATTTTTTCACATTTTCAGTCTCTTCCAACAGCAAGGAAATGCCATTACGTCTGCAAGGACATGTGCCATATGTGTTTAACATTACTGTCCTTCCAGTGAATGATCCCCCGTACCTGAAGCTCCCTGAAGGAAACATGCTTCTCCTGTTTGAGAATTCTAAGAAACGACTGACTCCGAATATCATACATGTGTCAGACCCTGACACAGATCCTTTCAGTCTTAGCTTCTCTGTTCTTGGCAACTTCAATTTAGATGCTGGGTTTTTGGAAAACACCAATCATCCTGGGAAAGCCATCAATAGTTTTACGCATGGGGATTTAAGAGATGGGAACATTTTCTATGTGCACAGAGGTCATCGGAACTCCCGGATCCTTCTGCGAGCAAGCGATGGAGAGCTGGTTAGCAATACGGTAGTGTTACGGGTCATGGCTGTTCCTTGGGACTTTGAAGTGGTCATTAGAACCAGTGCAGTCGTCCAGCAGGGTGGCGCGGTTCTGATTACACAGAGTGACTTGTCGGTGGAGGTTAATGGTGAACCCCATGAGATGGAGACCCGCTATGCTATCACTCATCCACCCCAATTTGGCCAGATTCAGCGGCAGGGATCAAGTGGTGAATGGAAACAAGTTAGTACCTTTTCTCAGCGTTCCATCAATCGGGGTCGGGTCCGGTACCATAGTACATTTCGAGGATTACAGCTAGATAATATTACAGATCACTTTAAATTTAAAGTTAACGTAGAAGGAAAAATCAGTGAAGAGCTGATGTTTCCTATTACTGTCCACTGGCTTAAGTTTATACTTCTGAAAAATGTTCCTCTCAAGGTCAATAAAATAAGCAGACAAATACTGAACTCTGATCATTTGCAGGCTGTGACAGAGGGTGTGGACGTAACTCAAAGAGAACTGCATTTTAAGTTACTGACCCCACCTAAGAAAGGAAAATTGCTAGTTGGCAATAAAATTCTAAAAACAAACTCCATCTTCAGCCAACAAAACATTTCAGACTCTAAGATAAGTTATGAGCTACAGGAGAGGCTCAGGGAAGACACACAAGATACCTTTAGGTTCTTGATTGTTGCAAAGCACATAGAATCAAAAGATTATACTTTCAGAATAAACTTTGAAGCAGATAAGACACGCATTATTGTAACTAACAAAGGATTATTTGTAAAAGAAGGAGAAGAGAAATTAATTACAAAATCAGAATTATTTGCTCAAACACTGGACAATCGGACCTTCCAATATAAAATCACCAGGAGTCCTCAACATGGAAAGCTGAAACTGGTTAACTTCTCAGATCCTCTGGGAAGTCATGACAGTATCACTGAGTTCACTGATCAAGACTTAGAGGGTGAACGGCTGATGTATGTCCATGATGACTCCGAGACTCAGTGTGATGAATTCCTCCTTGTGGCCTCCACTGCAGGTCCAGGCCAGGAGGGAGTGGTCAGGCATCTTGACACAGAACATTTATCTATAGAAATCAAAGTTGCCATTTCTGTAGAGTTAAGGAATGATGAGAAACCAGTGCGTGTGGTAGATAAGGTCTTTCATGTCGTGAGGAATGGCCAGCGCCTACTGACCCTGGCAGATCTCTGTTACCATGACCCAGACTCAGATTTTGATGATGGGCAGTTGCTCTACACCCGGCGGGGCATCCCAAATGGAGACTTGGTGAGAGCCAGTGATCCCACTCAGAAACTCTACCAGTTCAGGCAAGATGACCTGCGCGAAGGGCGAGTGCTCTTCAGGCATAAGGGTGCCGACTCCGCCCGCTTTGTGCTGTTTGTGACAGATGGTGTCCATTACACATCATCCCTTCTTGAGGTCACTGTGTCAGACCCTTACATCCAGATAGCCAACAACACGGGCCTGGTTGTACAAAGAGGAGAGGGCAGCAGCCTCACAGCATCTAACCTCAGTGTTACCACAAACCAAGATGTTAGAACAGACCATGAGATTGAATTCCACATGCTGCAGCCCCCAAAGCATGGCAGAGTGCTGGTCAACCACTCAGTGTCCCACACATTTTCCCAGCATGACCTGAAGCAAGGACATGTGATTTATAGGCATGATGGCAGTGGCAACTCCGATATGTTCAACCTGAGAGTGAAAGTTAAAGAGATCTATGTAGAAGTGAGCGTCTACATACAAGTGTACTCAGAAAGCCACCAACATCATGCCCAAATTCTGCTCATCAAGACCCTTGTAGTTGAAGAAGGAAAACCAGTAAAACTGAGTCGAGGAAGACTCCAGGTAGGTAGTTGTCCAAGTATTCTTTCCCTCCCGGAGTAATCTGCATCTAAGAGCTATTTTTGTGTTGATTTTACTTTGGTATTGAGAATTACTTTTTTCTAAATGTAAATGCCATCGAAAAGAAAAGCTGGAAGGTTTCATGATTTCGACACTGCTAATTTCCCTATAGTTGGTAAGGGAATATAAGTAATACTAAGCCTTATGTTAAAGCCGAGTACACCGCAGCACACAAGTATGTATGTTTGTTTAGTGTAGAATGAACTGGGAATGAGGAGATGATGCACATATTATAGCAAATTAAGAGATCTTTACTTTTTTATCATTTTTTATAGAAATACTGTCAATATTTCATTTGATGTAAGTTACATTTGTTGTGATAAAGCAGGGTATAAAAATTTAGAGCAACTTAATCATAATCATAAAAAGGATCCCTAAAACAGCAGAGGATGCTGTCTTACACATTTAATTTCCTTAGCTCTGAATATGGCGTCATTTTGTTTCCTAAAATTGATGGATAAAATTGACCCAGACCAGTGGAATGCCAGGGGGGAGACCTTACACCAGAAGCTACCTGGTTTCCTGAGGCTCCTACTTAGAAACTTCCAGCAGGCAAACCTTTGCTGATCACAGTTAGAAGAGAGTGTTCATTTTAGGGTAATCCTGTACAGGGTATGTAAACTGTGATTTATGACAACTGGCCACAAATATGGGCTATGCTGAATCTACCCTCAGGACTACAAAGGAGTTTACTTGTTTGCTGAATTCAGCCAATAACACTGAGAAGAAATTAACTCAAATCAGGAGCAGTTTACTAAATGAGTTTGTCTAAGGAAATGCGGGGCTTACCAATATTTCTCAATTCTTTTTTAGGATCTTGGAGAGTTTATGTTTCACCACAAGGGGGCATGTGTAGGTCAGTGACTGTAAATCAGTTACAATGACAGTTTTGACATGGATTTTGCTGAATCAATAAATTAAATATATTATCGAAATACTGAGCTAGTTAAAATGGAAGAGGAAAAACTTTCCTCTAAAGTCTTGCAATTTTAGTGATTCAGCTTCTGCTTCTTCAACCATCTTTTATTGTTTCTTCTTATACCATTTTGTTTCTTTCACTTCATCTTGCTGAGTCCTGGGTGTCTTGCTGCTGTGAATAATGCCTTGTTAACACATTAGTAGCTATTCAAGTGTTGTTGACCCTTACTTTTCTTTGCAACCACGGCTAAATGCAAATGTTGACATGGTCACCAGGCTAAATGCAAATATTGACATGGTCACCAGAACAGACCCTGGCTGAAACTCTGAATCAACCCTGATTGTAACTTAAGCCATTTGTAGACATTAATAGAGAACAATTTGGTTCATCAAGGGTCTTGACTCTTGCAAGTGTTGACATGTTCTTCTTTTTGTGTCTGTGTGTTGTGTATATGAACTCAAGGCTGTCCACGAAGATAATATTCCTTCGGAGGCAATGTTCACCATCAGAATTCCGCCAATGCATGGATACCTCCGGAAATCTTTACCAGAAGAAGGCAGCTTGGGTGGAGATGCAAAGTCCTCTCTGACTTTTACACAACAGGATATTGATGATGGGGATATCTTTTATGTTCAGACAGTTCCTGGCCAACAACAGGACCGTTTTTTACTGGATGTGGTGAATGGTTTCCAAGCTGTGAATGGAATTGAAATCTTAGTGGATATTGTCCCTAAGCAGATTCCTCTGGAGGTACAAAATTTCACAGTCCAAGAAGGTGGTTCCAAAACACTTCTGGAAGACTATCTCAAAATTCCAAACAAATATTTTGAGGGAGTTGACTGTGAATTTGTTCTCCTCAAACCACCAAAACATGGTTATGTTGAAAATTCTAATTTTCCAAGAGTAAAGCTAATGAAGTTTACCAGGAAACAGGTAATAATTCTCAGTTAATACTTTTGGGTATGTGGGATAAGAGAAAAAAAAAGTGCGATTTATTATTTACATTAATGGACTGAGGAGTGATGAGACTTGAAAGGGTATCTAGTTTAACCTTTTTATAGATGCTAGAAGCCCCTTTTATGGTAATTCCATAAAGAGATCACCTAGCCATTGCTTAAATATATTCAGTGATAGAGAATTCACTACTTCATGCAATGGGTACTTCCAGTTCTAAAATACTTCAACTGCTAGAAAGTTCTTTCTGTTGACCTGAAGTCTGCCACTTAGACACTTCTCCAAAGTCCTGGTTCACAGAACAAGTCATACCTCCTTTTCTAAAAGCTCTTTAAATATTTGAAAGAAAAAGTTATCAAGTTCCCTTGGATTGTAACTTCTTTAGGTTAAACATCTCTAGGTTCTCCCACTTTTGCTCACGTCATGGATATCTAGGCTCTGCATCATCCTAGCTGTCCATTGCTAGAGGAGCTCCACACTTCACTGTCCCACTCAGAATGTTACACCTAATATTTAACACAGACACGCTTTAGTCATTAGTGGATTTACTCATTTATTCATTCCATTAGTCAATCAACAGATGCCATGCTCCTGGTAAACATAGTGATATCAATGGCTAAATGGTCCAGGCCCTACAATCAAGCACTGGATACAACTTCCAATCTAATGTTCAGTGTAAAATAACCAATCAACTCTAGGCTGCTATCATATTTCTTTGCTTTGGGCTAGGTTGGTATTATTTTGAGACTTAGCTTTCTTATCATGAATAAAAGAATGATTTCCATTACTTTCTAGGTATTGAAAGTAACTTGCTACCATTTACTTTATAAGCTCCTAGGAATATGCGCTCTTCAGGTTGGAAGCCATTACCAACCACCTGGCATCTCTGGGTATCTTTGTTCAGTTAGCTGTAAACCTATGTGGGCTGCTTTATTTTGCTAGTAAGGATTTCATCTTATCAATGGACTTGAATCGATTTGCTAAGCCCTTCGTCTGTTCAAGTTGCTGTGCAAGGTTGCCATGATAAGGAGCCATATTCCTTGCCCTCAGGAGATCTTGGCCTAGGGCAAGGGCCAAATGAGAAGAGCAAGTGAACAGGGTGGGGGGGGGGTGGATTAGGCACACAAGCTTTAATATTAGTTCATCCTTCTGTTGCTTCACAGAGCATTCTCACAGCGGTGCTAAGAAGTGCAGAGTTGGCACATCTGACTCTAATTAAAGAGAATAGGGAAGACCTCACAGAGGGAATAACGTTTTAGCAAGATTTGAGGAAAGAAAGTGCAGGGAGGTAACAAAGAAGAAACAGAAAAGAAAAAAGCAACATGAGCAAAGGAACAGCATGACCAAGGATATAAAGGCATTAAAGTGAATGGGTTTGGGGCCTGGGAAATAGCCCATAAGACTTGCAGGTGGGCTCAGGAGCCATACTAAGAACTAGGGCCAGACTGTGGACAGTCTTGAATTATATGTTGAGAGGGTTAGACTGAACCAGGGGGCATTAGGGAGCTGTTGGGAGAAGCAGGGTATCCTGAGGGCAGGAAACAACCTTGGAAATCAGTGCTTTTCTACTGGGGACTCAGGGAAGGTGATCCTTTAGTGACTTCCTATAGGCATCTCTTCATCATGGCTTCCATCTGAAAGGTGGGACAAACCATCCAAGATGACTACTTGCTCCGGGGCAAGTTGAATTCAATACTGTTTACCTCAGATACGCTAGGTAAGAGACTGAGCACTAAATTTTAGTCCTGTCTTGGTCAATTTATTATTGATTGTGCTTTATGAGAAGTGTGCATTTAGAATGGTTGCTTGAAATCTGTATGTCAAGTATATGTATTCCCTCAAGGATCCATGTTATTGTGTAGCCTTATTCACAGTTAAGGTCATGTGTCCCTGCTCTTCCAGATGACCCCTTCACACTTTCTCTTCCTATATGACTCTAAGGTCTCCAGGTTTTGAGACATCATCGTTTACACGTAAAGTGGCACTAACCCCTAACAACTAGTGGCCTTAGTGCTTAGTGGCTTTAGGAGCCCTTGGCCATGTTTGTCATTCATTCATTCAGCAAATAATTTTTGAGTATCTATTATGTGCCAGGCATGCCAGCTTTATGTACTAGAGATACAGTGGTGAACAAACCCAGCAATAATCCTGCCCTGATGCCCAGGTAGGAGAAAGGAGGCAGAGAGAGGCAACAGATAAAATAAGTGAAATAAATGGCATGTTGAGTGAAGATTTAGTGCCATGGAGAAAAAATAAAGCAAGAAAGGGAGCTGGGAAGCGCTGGGGCCTTCAGTGATGTGTATGTGTGTGTTTAGTTTCAAATCAAGTGGTCGGGGGAGGTCCCATGGAGAAGGCAGCTTCTGAGCAGACACCTGGAGGAAGCAATGGATGGGTGAGCCACGTAGACCTGGAGGGAGAGCATTTAGGCAGAGAGAAGAGCAAGTGAACAGCTGTGTGGGGAGCAACAAGGGGTTTAGTGTGACTGGACTGCATGCTATGGGAGGAGAGCTGTACATGAGGTTTGGGAGGTCCAGCACGGGAGGGACTTCAACTTCACCTTTGACCCTGAGTGAGATGGGGAGCAAGGTGGGAGGGAGAAGGTGGGTAGAGGGATGACACAGTGTGCCCCGAACATGATTGGTGATAGGGGACTGAGTACTTTTCAATCTTTCAAGATTTTCTACAAATCTGTTACATCTTTTCATTTTAAGTCAGCAGACATTTTTCTAGTGTTAGAAGTCTAGGAACAGGCAAATTCCCACCAAATCTTCTCTTTGCCTTGAGATTAATGCATATTAAAAGGCATGTAATTTGGGGGAATGCCACTCCTTTGAAGAAATTATGTATTTCTCCAGGAAAGATATTGAGGAGGCAACTTGTATTAAATACTATGTTCTTAAGGCATTTTAGGCACAAATTCCCTCATTTTTTTTTTATCAATACCATCTTCTGCATTTATTTTCAAGTAGCTTAAAACAGCATGTTTCAGAACTTGTGGTAAGGCCTATGGTCTGGAACTCCTCTGCTCACAGAACTCCAAAGAAATTCTCAGCACCTGTGTACAAATGGCCACAATTTTCCCTTGAGACTCTTCGTGGACTTTTCAACTCTTGTCAGAAACACCTCTGAGAGATCAAAAGTATTTGTTCAAAGGAAGTGCACCATAGGAACCGGCAAAGTTGAACTGTTAAAATTTTTGGCAGTATTTTATCAAAACAAACACAACCCCAGAGGCTTTTTCAGAAGTTCAACTACTCCTGTTGGGCTTTGGAAGTTCTCTGCCATTTTATGTTTGGGTCACAGACTCACTGAAGCCAAGTTCCCTTCTAGCTTTAAAATTCTCTTGGTCTCTAATTATGATCCTGTGCTCTTCAGTATTTTCTATCACAGCCTTAAAGACATGAAAGGCATTCTGATCAAATTTGTGGCTATTACAAATCCAAGAGGAATAATTAATTCACTTGATGACTGTTTCAGAACAAAAATTAGAAAATGAAATCTAACAGGGATAAAAGTAAATGTTTGCATTTGGGTTATTACAGTAAGGGAAATCTGTTTTGATAGAAAATTTGGTTTTGACATATATCATTATGTCTATAGGAGATGTATGGTAGTTATGGATAGCATCTGCCATGAGATGCACCAAAAAATTATTCCATTCTGAAGGAGGAGGAATAGAATTAGGACATAGCATATAGTCTCTCATACAGAGAACAATTCGGGAATAATGCATGCTTAGTTCAGAAAAGATAAGTCTGGAGAAACTTCATAGTTCCCCTGGTCCAGATGTCTCCAAACAACAGAAATTGAGCAAGTGGGTAGAAGCTTCAGAGCTAAACCTAACATTCTGAATTGTCTAACAAAGTAATCCACAACTTCAAAAATTAGTCACTGTAAATAAACAAGGAGAGTCTAACTTTTAGTGGATAATCTTCCATTGGAAGAACAGCTGGGTTGTATCACTTACCTACAGCACATTTTACTATTAGAGTTAGTCTTTGACTCAGGTCTCCTGATTACCAGTGCAGTGGTCTTTTTCCTGCCCTATGTGCTGTGTCACTCCATTTCTCCTTAAACTTATTCCTAGGATGGGCATCACTTCATAAAAACTATCCCGTCCATCACAATTTCCACTCTGATTGTCAGAATCAAACCTCACAGGATAAATACATGCTTCTGTGTTTTCGAGAGACATTAAAATTAGGATTATAACAATTTATTCATGTTTTAAAATCACATTTCAGTAAGTTGGTGATTTTTGTTGCTGGTGGTTATAGGTGGAAAATGAATTGATTTCTTATGTGCATGATGATAGTGAGGAGCTTCTCGACAATTTCACCGTCTTTGCAAACAGCTCAGAGCTTGGAAAACAGAGCTTGCCCCAAACTCTTTTTGTAACGGTGGAATCGGTAAATGATGAGGCTCCAGTAATAACAGTCAACAAAATCCTTCAGGTAAGTGCTCTGTGCTTTTGGATTTATCATAATAACATTAGGGCTACCAATTTGATTTTCTTTTATATTATTTCTAATGTTAAATAATAAGACATATGATTATGTATGTATGGTTAACATATTCCTACTGGTTTTAAATAAACGTTAGTTGTTACCAGGGCATTCTGTTGGATAACTGTTGGGAGATGATGAATCCCAATGAATTACTGTTGTGTTATATTTTGTGAGTGGGTGTCATTCACACTATATTCCCCGAGGCATGGCCTTTTCTAGTTAGGGTGGGAAGGGAGAATCAGCTTCCCAGTATTGAATGTGTGACCTTGGACAAGTTATTTAATCCTTCAGTGTGCTCTCATCAAGAGGATGGGAAATGGAGACAGAGTAGTGAGTAGTAAGAGATAAAATGATCTAAAACTCTCCCACAGTTCCTGAAATGTGGTTGGGATTCAATAAATGGTAGCATGATTACCGAAAAACTCTAAGGCTATGCTAGTAATAGTGTTTTTTTTTTTTTTTAAACCTCACTAAACAATCATGTGACAGTATTTTTGCTGTATCTGGGAACTTCCATCACCCTTCACTCTTTCTGAAAATCCCCTGGGGGTGTGTCTTAGGCACTCATAGATAAATATGTTTTGGCTGTCACATGGTGTCCACCATTTGGCTCCTGTCCTGATCTGGCGCCCTAAAGCAATGTTTGCTGCTTGATGCACAGAAGTTCTTCTGCTTCTGGCTCTTATGGCACCATTTCCTCCTACACCAGCACTACCAATGTCAATGCTAGTGAACTCATTTGTGCCAGTTTACGCTGAAGTATCCCAAAGTTTTCATTCAGCAGGTTTTCTTGTTCTTAAATCACTCCTTACTGTCCCTTCTCTTAAAGAGTTGGACATGAATTTGTTGTTCTGGCCCAGAGAATAAAATTATGGCTATTAAAATAGTAAGTGCTCAAAAATAATTGTTAGCTATCATTGTGTGCCAGTAACACTCTAAGGGCTTATAATTCACTGAGATATGTGCTACCATTTCCCTCATTGGACAGATGAGGAGATTGCATGACAGCTGAATGACAGGCTGAGGACAGACAGAGTGACAGCACAGGAGCCTGATGGCTTGTTCATGCCTCTTTTCATACTATCCAGCAATGACGGACACATAGTAAACAAGAAATATTTGTTGAAGGGATGAGCAAATGAAAAGATAAACTGTCAAGACCCCCAATAGTGGCTCATCTTTCAGAGACCAGGTGTATGCCTTGACTCTTTCTTCCTTTAGTACAGCTGCATTTCCAAAAGGATCCTTGGCCTTTTGCACATTTAAGCCCCTAGGGAACTCATTCATTAGGTATGTCCAGACATGGGCATCTGAAGATGTTCACTTTGAAATTTGGCAGAGACAGATCTTCCCACATAAGTATTTGACAACTTCTGCCTTCTTTATGCCACTTGTGAGAGTAAATAGTTAATAATAGATTCTTTAGAAGTCCAGAGGAAATTAGGTAGTCAGAAGAGATGTGGAAGAGGTGAACATGAATAGAGCTCATCGGGGGCTAATCTAACTAGACAACTTTATGTTGTTAAACATGTAAACATGCTGGGTTTTAAAAAATCTGTTCTTATTTGCTCAAAATAATTGGATTTAGGAATAGCCTTTTTAGTGCTTTGTGTCATTTCGCAGCTTGGTTCATTATTCAGCCTCTGTATTTTAGGTGAAAAACCAGTGGTGTTTATACCTTCAGAACTCATCGCTTTATCTTTACTCTACAGTCACTCTCTGGGAATGGGATGTTCTAACTGGTCACATTTGTAGGCCTACAGGTTCTTGTTGTGTTCATATCCACTGAGCTCATTCTCAGCAAAGCGATCAAAGAACTAGGTTGCTGGCTAGAGTGAAGGATAAGAGGCGTCAATGATTATTCAGCATAGTTATAAAAGTTTATGTTTATTATGTGCTTATGGAGTACTATCCTGAGCATCTTCCAGAAGTGGTATCATTTTCACAACCCTACAAAGCAACTGCTGTTATTAATGTGCTCATTAAATGGGAGCACTGAGGCCCAGAGCAGCACCAAGGGAAGGTGTAGAAAGTCTGTCTCACCACCCACCACACTCTATGTGAGACAGCATCCATCCACACATAGAGTGTGGTGGGTGGTGAGACAGCATCCATCCATGTGACCACTCTGCATCCATGTGATCAGAGGCTGTCTTTATTAGGAAGAAAAAAACCCCAAAGCTGTTGTGCCTCTTGCTCCTGCTAAAGTGGATTTCGTGGAATGGGTCCACAGCAGTTGTATTGACACATATGTATTCACCCAACAACCTCAACAGAGGATTTCGGCATTTTGCTGTATGGTGCAAAACTGCACGATGAGAAAGATTCAGGGGAGGGTCCCAAATTCCAGACAGATACAGGAGAAGATCTGGAGCTGGCTGAGGAAGTGGAAGACCAGAGAATAAAGTAGGGAACTCTTAGGCTTCCTTCTGCAAAGGAATCGAAGCCCTATTGTGGGTTTGGCTTTCATTTCTGAGGTGCCATTAATTATAAGATGCATCATCAGCTTAATAATAGCTTTATTATATTGAAATATTCTTGTCAATTTAAGATATTCAGAACATTGAGTTGTGAGAGGAAAAACATGTATACTGGCGTTTATCTCTGTCTTCCCTTTAAATGAGGGAAATACAGTCTCTGCCAAGAACCTTGAGCTTGCTCAGGTAGTTGATCCACATACTCTCCCCCCTATCCTTAATTCCAGAGGGCTTCTCTCAAGAAAAAAAGGAAGATTTGCTGGGGGGAAGGGCCATTTACTTTGTGCTTGCCTTCTTTCCTGGGGAGCCTGGGTCCAGGCCAGGAGGGTGCAACTTCCCAGTTTCAGTGGATGTGGCCATTTGACTCTGGCTCTTTCTGAGTTTATTCATTTATTTATCTCGTAAGTCTCTCATTCTTTGCCTTAAAAGTTTTAAATTAAAGGTAGAAGACCGGAGTTCAAGGTTTATAAATTGCCCACTAAGCAAAATTTCTCTGAACATCATCTTCAACAGCAAAACCATGCTTGAGTTGTGGATTGTTGTGTGTGTGTGTGTAAAGAGATAGATAGATAGATAGATAGATAGATAGATAGATAGATAGATAGATGATAGATAGATAGATAGATGTATTTATTATGAGGAATTGGTTCATGTGATTATGGAAGTGTGCAAGTTCCAAGATCTATAGGGTTAGTCAGCAGGCTAGAGACCCAGGAGAGCCAATGGTTTAGTTCCCATATGAAGATAAATAAGAAGAGCTGATGTCCCAGTTCAAAGGCAGTCAGACAGAAGAGAATTCTCTTTATTTGCAGGAGGATCAGGGTTTTTTTTTGTTGTTGTTGTTCTACTTAGGCCTTCAACTAATGTATGGGGCTCACCTATGTGAGAGGGAGTAATCTCCTTTACTCAGTCAACTGATTTAAATATTAATCTTATCCAAAAACATTCTCATAAGAATACCCAGGATAATGTTTAACCAAATATCTGGGTACCCATGGCCTAGTCAACTTGACACATAAAATTAACCACCATAATCTTGAGATTCTATGCTGTCTTTGACTTTTCAAACAGAATTTTCTCAAGACCTTCAGATTATCCCTATATGACCACCCACTCTCTTTTCTTGTCATCAGAGCTTCAAGCAAGTGGCAAGAAGATTATCTCAGTCTACTTGGGAAAAAGCAATTGGGAACATAGACGGTAGACCAGCTGATAGCATCTCAGACTCTAGATAGGAGTTCAAAGGCAGATACCTGAATGCTAACCATTCTATGCTAGCATTTCAAATATATTTCTTTCTGCTGAAGTACTTTAAACAACATTTCATTAAGCCAGAGAACTTATGGCTGGCTGGTCTCCAAAGTCATTCAGTGGTACAGGAAACCATTTCCATCATGACAAACTGGGGTTAGATCAACTCTGGTGAATCCTTTGCATTTTACTCTAAAATATATTCTACTGAGTACTTTTGTATTCAAGCATCACCAGAAATTTTCGTGCATACCAGATCAAATGTATTTGTGTCCACAAGGGGGCTTCATTTTCCTGTTTTTTGACTTTGGCTTCCAACACTGTGCATTTTGTTTTGTTGTTGTCTTTTATACCAAAAATAGAATCATTTGTTTATTTCTGATAACCACTTGCCATCACTAAAAAGAGCTTCAAGAGCTAGGGACAGTGGAAGAATTAAAGCAGCAGAGCCTGAGCCTTTGACAGAAGGCCCAGAAGGGACAGATAGTGGGATAGTAACTATAAACATTTCACATCCCTCATATGAGACTCAAAACAAAGGTCTGGGTTTTTAAACATTAGAAGCATAGTTAGGATTCTATTGGATTATAATTAGGTTTCTAAATCCCATTGACCTTCTGTTTAAGTTAAAGGCAAATTTTTAAAAATGTTTTCCAATTAATGGGCTATTTTTTTTTTTTTCTCAGATACCTAATCCTTAAACCCTTATTTCTTGGGCTTTGGCTTACTTTTAATTCTGCACTCAAGTTTGGGACCTTTGTTTTTCTTTTCCCCATCTATCCGAAGTTGCTATTACCAATGACTGGGCACTAAATCAATTCTCCCCCAAAGCAGCAGGGCTGTTCATTGAACTAAATTTGGTTTGAGTGGAAATAAAGACCTGAAGTTACAAGGTCTTGTTTTGAGTGGCAGGTTTTCCACTTGGTTTGAAAGATGGTATATTCCAGAGGCAAGAGGGGGCAAAAGCAGAGTTGCACGGAAGAGTAGCTGCAGTGGAAAACTTGCTTCATCCAGCTTTTGTGTGCACGGTGCTGGAAAAAATGAGTATCTACGAGTCACGAGAAGAGAATGGCGGTACATTTCCAAATCAGCTTGAGTTCTTAAAGAAAGGAAAATGAGATACATGGATAGATTTTAAAATGTAAAAAGTGAAAAAGTAGAATCAAGGCCTTGGAATTGTGTTAAATAGTCCAACTGTATATTTTAGAAACACTGTAGCCTTGCCATGGATTAACTGAAAACCAAAACCTTATAATTTGAACATTAGGTTGATTAGCATTCTGGTACCTATTAAAAAACCGATGTCCTTAGAGTTTAGGGCTGAAAAATCATTAATGGCCATATTCCAAAAGCCAAAATATAGGAGCATCCACCAAGAATACAATCATGAAATTCACTCCAAATTATGGAGAGATGCTGTGAGATGAACATGTTAATTAACAGTACATGTTACAGAATGGCTCCAATAATGGTAATCATGATACTCCAAATGACTTTTAAGTAATATTTAAAAAATCATATTTATCTTCAGAACCAAAACTGATGAAGAAGATGGATAACATAGAGCTAGTATTTATTGAATTCCTACTAATGCCGAGTGAAGCTTGGTTCTAAGTACTTTACATATGTTAAATCACTCATTATACATAATAATTCTATCAGTCCTAGTTTACTAATGAGGAAATTAAGGCTCAGGGAAATTAAGAAATGTGTCCAAGGTTTCATTGCTAATGTGGTGTATCATGCCTCATATGAAAATGTAGGAATCTTAATGTATTTTCCGATATTCCTTTGTCAAATTCTGTTTAGTTATTAGATAATGGGTGAGCATGAATTAAGATATTTCATAAACTCCCTATGTTCCTAAGAAAACAGCCTCTTAGACCGGAGAGATATCTATTAAATCACTGAGGACTGAATTTCTAAACAAGTTGGCAACAAGCATAGATGTTAAGGCTCTAGTCAGAGAGCAAAGAATGACATAAGCTTAAAAATATGCGTGGTGTTTCTATAGGGAAGACATTTATAAATACAGATAGAAATGTGAAAATTTAGGTAGTGATAATGCCACCCATTTTTAGTTAGTGAAATACCATGTGACTGCATGACTATAGAAACTGAAAACAGCCTTATTCCATCAAATGTGATTTGATGTTTAAATAAGCATTTTCAGCTCAACACATTCACAACTGAACTCCTGATCTTCTCAGATCCACCCTCTCTTCAGCTCTCCTCATTTCAGTCGATGGTAACTCTGTCTTTTTAGGTGTTGAGATCCCAACCATGGAGTCATCTTTTTCCTTTCCTTCTTCCACACCTCACCCAGAATTTGAACACTTCTTACCACCTCAACAGTTTCCAGCCACTCTCTTCTTTCATCTCTCTCCAGGATTATTGTAGTCACTTCCTAACTGGTCTTCCTGCTTCTACCTCTGCCTTCCCATGGTTTATTCTTGATACAGAAGCCACAGGGCTTTGTTAAGACCAAGCCTCCTCACCTAAAGCTTTATGATGATTCCCCATTGCACTTAAGTAAAAACCGAAGTTCTTACATTGGCCATGAAGATCCTGCAGGATTTGACTTTTCATTACATTTTTGACTCATCTTCTTGTCCTTCTTATCTTACTTGCTCTGCTCCTGCCATACTGACTTCTTGCTGCTCTTCAAACTCCCACCTTAAGGCTGTTCCCTCTCCCTGGATGTTCTTTCCCCAGATATCCACATGGCTCCTCCTTCACCACCTCCTGATTTTTCTCCAGATGAGCCTCTGATTTACATTCTTCCACTCCTGAGCCCTTTATTTTTTTAGTGCCCATAACCTTCTAACAGACTACATAGTTCATTTCTTTATTATGCCTTTGTTTCTTCCCTGTACTCCTTCATCCCCTCCTGCTGGAATGCAGGCTCCATGAGAATAGGACTCTGTTTTGTTCACTGATGGATTGCAAACACCTAGAACATTGCCTGGAACATAGTAGATGCTCAATAAATGATGAATTGTGGAACTAGGATATTTAGGCAAGGTAAATATATCTTTAAATGTAATTGGAAAATAGAGACTATTACTCAGAAATAATTGCAGATGAGCTATCAGCACAACAGACCTTGCAAGGCCATAGACACCAGATATGTGTTTTCCTGCAAGATTGGTGAAATAAAGGGAAATTTTAAAATGTGCAATGTGTGTTTTCCCTCAAATACTTAAAAGGTGATGAAATCATTCACTTCTTAAAACAATGAATAGAAATCCTTAAATCAACCCCCTGAGGTAGTTTCTACAATGATCTGATATTCCATGTAGAGTCTATTCTTATGCTTCCATGCTTAGCATGGGCCAGGCATACAGAAGGTGGTTAGTTACCATCAGCTTTTATTGTTATTATACTTTATTAAAAATGCACTTTAAATCATTACTTTTGAATAAATAATTATGAGCATTATTTCTTATTGGGACCTCATAAACCTCATAAATTAAACAAACACTACAGCATGCCCTGAATTTCATCTGTTATTTAATAATATGCCTGTTTTGAATTAAGAATCCTCATGTTTTAAACACTCTGGTGAATTGCTTTAGGTTCTAAATCTCTGTGCAAGAGGCCAGAGTAGCATAGCTCTCAGGTTTGCTGATATGATATGGTTGGAATTGGTCTTTGCAAAATCTGTGCTTCTCTCCTTTTTTAAGGTGTGGGCTAATTCTGTCACTGAGATTACCAGAGGTGACCTCTGTGCAGAAGATAAAGACTCCTCCCCACAGGACCTCACCTACTGGGTCACTCCACCCAGCAACGGGCATTTGGCTCTCCAGTCCTTTCCTGGCCAAAGCATCCAGAACTTCACCCAGGCTCAAATCAACAAGGGCCAGCTCATATTTGTACACACTGGTATGTCATGGAGAAAAGTAACACGAAACTAAAATGTGTTTCAGAGGTTAACATGATCATCAAAACTAGTAGTTGCTGACTTGAAAACCACAAACCATCAGAAAGCTTTCTGGGGTCTGTAATTTTTTTTTAAGTGGCATGTTGTAGTCAGGCTAATGATAGCAAACATCTGAGAATACCTATAACTCGCACATGGCTTACTCACATGGCCATGTAAGGTCTATGCTCAAGTGTAACGTTCCCAGAGAGCCTTTTCCTGACCAGTCATTAAAACAGCATCTCTTCTCTCTCCCTCTGCATCCCTTATGGACTTCCCACCACTGTAGTATGGATTGCTTTGTTTATTTGTTGTCTGTCTTCCATACTAGACTGTACAAGAGCAGGATCTTTGTTTTGTTTGCTCTGGTATCCTCAGCACCTCAAAGAGTGACGAGAACAAGTAGGTGCTTAATAAAAATGTGTTGAAAGAAGGAAATAATTCTGAGTACCTTTTATGTGCCAGGTCATGTTCCAGATGCTAGGGGTACTTGAGTGAACAAAACAAGCATATTTATTAAACACATGAATGGATGAATAAACAAATGAATGAATATAGCTGTGATTCTAAGAGACTCTGTCATTAGAAGGCTTTTTTTTTTCTTCCTTCTGTTAATCAGTAAGCCAAAGAGCTACTGTAAACCTGAGGAAGGGGTGATCTAGTCTGGCTTTGTTTCTGGGCTGCCCCTGTCTCTGGACAGAGAAGGGAAGGAACCCATTCCCAGACTGCAGGGGCAGATGGGAGGGTGCGTGTGCCAGGGGGCATGAGGGGAAAGCAAGCAGGCATAGCTGGTCAGCCATTTTTATTAACTTCTTTGAAAATATAGTAAAGAAAATGAAGATTAAAAAATCTTCTCAATTCAAATCTAGTGATTTCCTGATATCTTTGCAGTTGATGCAAAGAATCCCCAAATAATTTGAAAATAATTCACTATGTGAATGCTCTCAGCTACTGATTCCAAACCTGTGGCCTGGGGACTTGCTGGGTTAATTTTATTGCAATGAGATACTAAATCTACCCACATATCTACTGAAGCCTTGTTTCTAGACTAGATGATCTTTTCCACGGATGTATGTCCTCATTTTCTAAATGTGTACACATGTGCTGATTAATAAAACACAATTCATTTAAAGAGGATTTAAAGAGGTACTGAAGTAATAGGAAGTTTCCTCCAATTATGTGTGGTTTTGATTATTAGATATCAACAATCCAAGTATTATAGATGAGGGCCTAGAAGGGTTTTTATTTTTTGAAGGATTATCCTATTTTCAAAATGGAGAGAACTGCTCTGAAGACTCCCCCCAAGGAGAGTTTCAGATTTCTACAGTGATGCAGTTTGCAAGAAAAAGGAATCCTCGCTCAGGCACATGCTGGCACCAGGGGAGGTGCAGTCGCACGACTCAATTTCTGTTACACACATTTACTCTGCAGAAGTCCTCTGAGCCACGTGAAGCAGTGATCCCATTTTAGAGATGAAGAAACTGAGGCTCAAAACGATGTAAGCTGTGCTGACCCTAAAGCTGGGCTTTCTCCATGGGCTGCCCCCCCCCCCACTGAAGGATAAAGCAGGTTACAGAAGCACACTTATTATTTGTGGGACTAAAATGAAAATTAGCTCTCTGGATTTATTTGTCAACTACCAGGTCCATGTTCAGTTTTGGCTGGTAGAGAAAATAATTTCACCTAAAAAAGGCAGGAAAGCGAGTTAAAGACAAGCTCTTTGAGAGTCAATTGATTACATTTTCTAAATGGCTGTGGAGGCAGTAATGGCTCTTAGAGTGTCTGGAGCCCCACCACAGATGAGGCTGTTGCTGAGACCAGCTGGTTCTCCTTGCTGCATCTGTCCATCATCAGCCCCAAACAAAGGCCTACATTTAATTAGTCTCCCTGACCATTTATATTTGCAAAGTGCTCTACCGTTAATCTAATTCATTTTTCACCTAACAACCTAAATAGGTTGATAAGGCCAAGATGTGGGAGTCTGTGTGATTGAAGGCTGCCCTTTGCAAAGTACTGTCAGAAAGATCTGAGGCTGTGCAACAGAAAATCTACAGGTCTCCCCTACTTTCATGTTTCCCTCCTTTCTTCTCTTTGGTCATAGTGTGACAGTGTGGGCATTTCCAGGCTTTTATTCTAGGATGTATTTTGATAGGATTCCTTTTGATTCAGTTTCCCCACTATTTCTGGATTCATGAAATGTTGAAAGTGCCTAGTGGCAGAAAGCATTCTCTCCCTAATTTCATGTTTCATTAAATACAACTTTCAAAGTGCTATTTCTAGTAAAAACAAGCAAGCAGACGAAATTTGATTGTGTGTGGGACCCTGTTCGAAATTAGGCAGACTCAGAATTTACTCTCTCTCTTTTTTAAAAAAAACGATGACTTTTGAGTGCATCGGGAAAATTTTTTAAAGTCTGTAATCTTTTTTTGTGAGGACTCGGAACTCTGGGCGTGTGTAGGTAACAGAAACTGGAGAGGCTGTCAAGCCATCGACCAGTCTTTTTATTAAATTGTGTTATTAAGGGAGTACTTGTACGTAATTGCAAAGTCTGACCCTGCCTTCTTTGTTTCTTGCCACATGTCCCTGAGGGCAACAAAGAGGACATTTCTACCCATTACATGATGCAAAGACCTGTGGGCCTCCAGATTTACTGCTGGCTGAACATTTTCAAAGGGCGATGGGAATGCGAACATCAGGCTCTCTACATTGTGAGGTTGCCTGGTGCTTTGTGAGTCAGACTAGTAAAGTACTCCTGGGAACAGGATCGATAGGGGGCCTGTCTCAATTTCTGTTACACACATAAGTTAATTTATAACTTTATTGATATCACGAATCCTATGACAGAAGCGTGGAAGTACAATTCTCTTCTAGCAGGAATTTAACAAAAGCCGGCCTGGATCTTTCCCTACTCTTTATCACCTCAGCAGAAAACAGCTAGTTGGAGTTCAGTGAATAATTAGAAATTATTTGGAGGCAGGGGCTAAGTGTTATTTACTTCCCTCCTGTTTTTTTTTTTTTTTTTAAGATTTCATTTATTTATTTGAGAGAGAAAAAGAGAACATGAATTGGGGGGTTTGGGGAGAGGGAGAAGCAGACTCCCCATTGAGCAGGGAGCCCAATAGGATGTGGGGCTCAATCCCAGGATTCTGAGATCATGACCTGAGCAGAAGGCAGATGCTTAACTGACTGAGCCACAAGACACCCCAACTTCCCCCAGTTTTGGTTTTTGGTATTATTAAGTAAGCACGATCAATATTTCAGAAATGGTATATGTGTGCATGTTTGTGTTTGTATGTGTGTACACACACAACATGCATGTATTACATTTGCTGGTGTAAATTGATTCCAAAATAATAAAATGCAGGTGATGTATATGTTTAAAAAGATTTTTAAAAAATTTTTGCAGGTAATGTCTTTGCTTTCTTTTATTAGGTCACGAGGAGGGGGAAAGGGGGAGGGAAGAGCATGCATTTTAGACCTTTATTAATGTTCTTTTAGCTTTATATGCTGGCGGTGCTTGGTTTGGTGAGCTCAGTGACTGTTAACACATTCTCCAGTTGATAGGTGTTGCTCTGCAGGGGGATCAGGTAGGTGGGAGAGAGGGCAAAAGTGGGTGGTTTCTGCAGAACACCCCAAGTGACCAGAGTGTAATTCTTCTTTTGAAGGAGCCATGTCAGGAGGCTTTAATTTTCAGGTTACTGATGGTTTGAACTTTGCACCACGACAAATTTTTAGCATCACTGCTCGAGCCCTGACTCTTAGCTTAGAAGTAAACCGAGGATTGAGCATCTTTCCAGGTAAGATTTTAACTTGACTGCATTTGGGGAGAAGTGGTTTTCAATTTATTTAGAAAGTTCTACCTGCATGGTAAAAAGTATCATCGTTTCCTATAGAGTGATCCCAACAACAGTTACAAAGTCCCAGAAAGAGTTCTCTCTGCAGGAATTCAGCAAAAGCAAGGCTGGCTCTGTCCACCCGCCTCTTTTCCCTCCCTTGTTCATCCAGAGAGGGTGTGCTGGTAAAGAGCCATGGGACAGGAGTCCCCAAAGCAGCCATGATCCATGTGCACTTTTCCCCTACTCTCTCCAAGGGTCCTTGATGAAGCAAGGAGAGCCAGGTTCTGCAGTGATCGTCTAGATCTTGGAATTACTTTTTCTGAATATAAAAACCCTGTGCATCAGGGGCTGTGAGGGATTTCACTGAGTGCTGGCCCTTAGAACCCTGAAGCCTCTGGACTGTTGGTTACCAAGAATCTCAGCTTGGCTGAGATGGAAAAATCAAAGTGAGCATTGCTGGCTCAATACCCTCCTTGCAGGGATAGGGAAAAATTTACCCAATGGCAGAGGTAATAAAAAAGAATGACAAACATTTAAGCTTGTTATTTAGAAAAAAAATGTACTGAGGTAGACCAAACAGAAAATAATAAAATTTATGTTACAGTTAAAAAAAAAAAAGGGTCTTTACACAGTGACTTGTTTACTTGATATGCGTTACCAGTAAAACGTAGATGGAGAGAGATAGTAATAATTTAGTGAGTTATGGTTATTCTGTGGTCACTCAGGCCAGTTACTCGCAACCAGGAAGCTTCTAAAAATAGCCATGTCTGAGCCTCACCTTACCGCAGTTGAAGGCGAGCTTCTGCAATAGGGGCTGGCCATCATTATATTTTTTTTAAGTTCCAGGTGGTTCTGAAATACAGCCAGGATTGAGATCCATGGGACTGGGCATGGTACTAGTCTTTTATTAGTTACACGTATGTGAGGGAGGTGCTATATTTACAGGAAGCTGACAGGATTTGTGGTTTAGAAAGATGATGTCATTTGGCTGTATAATCGGTAAATGGTGGATAAAGCTCACATACTTCTAAGGTAGACCTAGAGAAAAGTCACTGTAATTTTAACAGAAATATAGTTGTTTTGCTTTGTTTTGTTTTGTTTTGTTTTAGTTTTTTTTTAGGAGAAATGTTGCCATTCTTAGTTGCCTTAAAGCACTTGAGTTCAAGAAAAGAAATCTTATTAAAATCCAATTAAAGATACATTAACCCAGATTCTTCTACTCCAGAATCTTTTTATATTCCATAATTTGTCTCTGGGAATAACTGTGATGTTTCTATCGATTTCTGTAAGGCAACGAGGGTGCCATTTAGTGTTTAAAAATAAGCAAACTACTACACCCTAGTAATCTGAAAAATGTAGTAATCTACTGGAAAAAAATGTTCTTAAAATCAGAGTAAATCTGGTTGCTGCAAAAGATAAAATACTTTCCATCTATTCTGGCTAAACTTTGGTTTAGTAATTCTTGACAGTTGTGTTAGATTGAAGGGGAGTTATAGCCACTACAGCTTAGAAGTTTTGTGTTTCTGGCATCTCTTTTACTGAATATTAGTTTAGCAAGAAAAATATATGAAAATGGCCCAAATTCTCTTGTCACCTTTGTGGAGCTATGCAAAATATATAGTTTTCATAGCCCTCTGTTTAGTATTTGGACCCAGCCCCAAGTGTGCGGTTCCTTTTCCCTACCAAAATGCACTCCACCCATCCTGACCTGGCCCCACTGGCTCTGAGAATCCTGCACCAGAACTTGCGTGTTATCCTCACACAAAGCGAGGGCTCCTTTTTCCAAGCTTCCCCCTAACTAGCACCTGAGGTCTGTTATTCTTGGTTTCCATGTTGGCCTCCATCCCCAGGCTGTGACTTATTTCCAGCTCCAGTTTCTGGCCAGTAGGAAGGAAGATGGATTTTCTTTCTTTTCTTTTCTTTTTTTAAGATTTTATTTATTTGACAGAGAGAGAGAGAGAGAGAGCATGAGCAGGAGGAGGGGCAGAGGCAGAGGCAGAGGGAGAATGGGAGGCAGAGGCTCCCAATGGGTAGGGAGCCTGATGTGGGGCTCGATCCCAGGACCCTAAGATTATGACCTGAGCTGAAGGCAGACACTAAACTGACAGAGCCACCCAGGTGCCCCGGAAGTTGAATTTTCATGTACATTTCCATTATGTGGCTGTTAGGGCTGATCAAATATCCATTTGGGTGGGTGTGGAAATGACTACTGCAGAATCACAGATTTTAGAGTTGGAATGGACCTTATGGGTCGCTCGGTCCAGTTGTCCTCGGTGTTTTTCTTATCCTAATGTCCCAAGTGGTGGGGGCCCCACTCTGTTTTGCATCAGAAGTCCCCGATGTGGGTGTGATTCTGATGACCACATCTCCTCCTCTCTCCAGGGACACAAGTGAGCCTTGCTCAGCTGGCTTCTACAGTAGCCACTGGAGGATGTTGGTCCCTGCTGCTGTGTGAAGTTGTGGGGGAATGATAACAGATGCCCCACTCTCCATTTTCCCTCAGGACCGCCCCCTCCCCATCATGACAGGTCCTGCGGGGAGTAGGCTCTGAGTGACCTCTGCCTCCCTCATCTAATAGGCGGTACTTTGGCTGAGAGGGAAGGGGGGCACAGAGTCTGACTCCAGGTGTCAGCTGTCAGCTACTGTGGCTCTTGCACACTCCAGTTGATCTATTTGTTCTGAAATGTCAGGGAAACCGTATTGCTTTTTATAGAACAATAGATTTTATAGAACCATAATAGCAGGAAATCTATTCCTGTTATAGAATGGACATCCAGATACTATTAATAACTGTGTTTTTATTGTGTTTTACATTTTCATTTACTGCATTGGATTGTTTTAAGGATTTAAATGAAATAATGTATATTAAAGTAAGTTGCATCATCCCTATTTGGCATGATGCAACGTTGATAGAAAACACGGGCTCAGACAGTTTCAGAGTCATATAACTAACAGGAATCATAAGCCTCAAGACCAAGTGCCAACTCCAACTCCAACCTCAAATCTTGTGCTGGAATCACAGCAGCTTCTCTCCTTTATGGACATGCCTGTGTTCCAGGATTGTCTCAATTTAGAATACCAGTTCTCTGACAATGCAGCCATCATCTTTATTTTGCCTCCTTGATATTATTGATGGATTGATATATACAACCAGGAAAATATGCATAGCAGTTTAATAAACAGCAATGATGGTGTAGAAATTTTGTGTGTTTTTCACTCTCTTGGAGTAGGAAAATATTGCAACCCGGCATCAGTCAACTTTTGTTTTTACTCACACTGATCCCATACCAGTTGGACTTTTTCCACCAGCCCGGCAGACTTTGGCCGGGCTGTTTTGCCTTCCTCGTGGACTTAGTCTTAAAAGGTGGCCCTGACTTGAGACCTGGAAGAATTTGTAGGGTGAGCCAAAATACTTAGAAGAATACTTAACGGGTGGATATTTTAAGGTTAACCAGAGCTTCTGCGCCCTGCCAAACCTGAAAGTCATTTTTTAACTCAAGTTATTTTGAAGTAGGAAGGACTGCAGTTCTAAATGAACTCTTTTTGTGTGTGAACTAGGAAAATAATGTCTACTCAATGTATATTTTCATTTTGTTATTGTGTGTGTATATGTATATATATATGTATCCATAAATGCACATACACACATATGTGCACACAGATACACACACATTCATTCTACTTCTTCCTGCAAAATTTATTCCCCAGGAAATTTTATAACCAGTTTTTCACCTTGAACGCTACCATCAGATGGGTTTATTTATCTTTATTGTGACATGTTAGAACATATTGTGGCCTTAGGACCTAGTTTTCCTGCATATCCAAATGGTACTTGGCTCTTTTACAAAAAATGTTGAGGAGGGGTTTGACCTTGAGAGACAAGCTAGTCTAGAATATAAGCTTACACAGTAGCTGATCAGTGAAGGGTATTCAGAGCCGACTGTGTCACTTCAATCCCCTTGGGGTTCGGGCGTGCTATAGAGGGAATCACATCTCACTGATGGGCCATCTGTCCTTTGTGGTGGGAATTGAGGGAGACAAGAAAGCAGAGGGAAATCACAGTGTGTTGTTAGAGTTTAGAGCAGAGATTTATAAAACCTTTTAGTTGGCTAGTCTTGCAACACTAATTTGAATACTGTTAAGACTTAGTGGGAGATAAAACCTGTGAGAAAAGATTGTTGATGCTTAAGGAAAAACTTAAAGGCTTACTAATTGGGGAAACAAGAGACTTATCCTCAAGAGTACACTAACCTTGCAAAACATATGCTAAGGATCCAGTGAGTGGTATAGACTGGGTGAGCCACACAAGTCCGGGGGGGTGGGGCATAATTTCCCATAGACTGCAACAGTCAGCAAGAGCTTGTTGGCCAGGCAGGTCCTGAGCTGTCCTTGCAGAACCAATAGCAATTCAATAATGGTGACAAAGAGGGGTGAGCATACCAGATAATACAGTATGGCTGCAGTGGTAAAGACCAGGGAAGAGGTTTGGCAGCATGTTCAGCAGGTGGAGAGGAAAATCTATTAGATTGGTTGAATGATTCATCACGTTTCCTAGCTCAGTTATCCTTCCAGCCCTGAGCTTAAAGTAGTATGGTATAGACAATGTAGTGTCAACTTTAAAATAAATATTTAGGAGTCAGGGAGACCTACATTTGACCATTAGGCAAATTGTTTAACATCTCTGAGACTTGCTATCCCTTCTTAGTGAGGAAACAAATCTGCATTTGTTAGGATTATCATGATATCCAAAAGGAATGGCAAGACTGTCTGTGCTGTTTCCTAGTGTATCTCTACTCCTCATTAGGACTTGTCACCGACCAACACTTGATAATGTCCATTGAAGAAATGAGCAAGGCCTCCTATGCTAGTGACCCTGAAACTCTTGCTGTCATGGAGGTGGTTGTTTTTCATGAAACAAACATAGTAGGATATAAGTATGTTTGAGAAATGCTGTATTTAAAAGAAGAATAAAGTAGATTTCCTTACTCCAGGACTTAGAGTCTTTAGCATGCTGATTTGCTTTTCAAATCTCTAAGAGGTGCATATGGAGTGAGGGCTTGCCAAACAGATATGGTTATGAGCCCTTTTATTACCACACTCCTTGTAGGATGGTTATTTTATGGATATACAGTTAGGTGGCACCTTAGAGAAACCCTTCCCAAATTAAGTGCCTGGAGCTTAGTGATGAAACTATAAATGCTTGGATAAAATGAAGTGGGTTTGGGGGGGAAATGATGTTTGGCTTTCTGTGAATTGGCCTAAACGATAAAAGATACTCATCAGGCAGCTACAGCTTGGAGCCAGCTAGTCTTGTTGACTGAGCATGCCCAGATGACTGATGAATAGGAATTAAACCCTAGAAACCCTCCTAGGTTAGATAGCCGGACAAGGGAATGAGGGGTTGGTGTACCCTGACTGAGGAAAAAAAGCACTTTTGGCCTGGAACATCTCTGGTCAGTCCTCTCCCCCAAAAGGCTAGGACCAATTAAATGATATTATTCTATTTTTTTTAAAAAGATGTTATTTATTTATTCATGAAAGACACACAGAGAGAGAGGGAGGCAGAGACACAGTCAGAGGGAGCAGGCTCCATGCAGGGAGCCCAGTGTGGAACTCGATCCCGGGACCCCAGGATCACACCCTGGGCCAAAGGCAGGAGCTAAACCGCTGTGCCACCCAGGGTTCCCTAAATTATATTATTCTAAAGAAAGAGTCCCTCCCATCCCCTACCTGCCAAAGGTAGCCCTGGACCGGGAGGAATAAGTGAGAAGTTAGAGTCCTTTATAAGAAGGAAATAAGAAGGCATAGTGGGGACAAGGTCTAAAAAAAAGCTGAAGATAGAGAAGTTTGGATGTCCAAAGAGTGCATACATAAAAACATGATTCACCTGACAGGATGAGGGAGCCCTACGTTGGCAGGTAACAAAGAATGGGTGTTAGTTTTGACTTTATGTAACACTGGCTGAGGGTACAGAATAATTCCCCTTGGCCTCCCCAGGTGACCTTGGATCCTGGGCACCCAGCTCCAGAAGCTGAAAGAGGGCTGTGACATGTTATTGTATTTTATATTCGCAATCTGCAGGGGACTGGGGGAGGGGAAAACACTGATCCTTCACCACAGAGCAGTTGAGAACCACTGCTCTAACCCACATGTCCCCAACCCTCTCTAGCTTTTTGTTGCCACATTTGGTGGCATTAGCACACAGACTCATGTGTTTCTGGTTCTTCCTTCCTTGGTATTTGCACAACCCCTTCCCTCCCCACAATGTCCTTGTGACCTGCCTATCTGGGGTCCCCTGGAGATGTTTCATGCTTGCTCAAGAGCCACAGTCTCCCCCAGATGCCCACAGATGGGCACTCCATGGAGCACCTGCAGCTACATCAGGTTAGGGTGCGTCCGTCCTCCCAGGGTGGGGCACTGTCCCCTGTTCTTTCAGGGCACACAGCCAGTTCCCCTTCCTGCACTCTGAGCCAAGTCCAGTGCCACACACACTGGCATTGCCTCTTTTCTCTGGGGATCAGTGGGCCATCCAGGACTGGGCAGGGACTGAGGAACCCATCTTATCTGATTTTCCTCCTTCATCTCCAGCTCCAGGAGCAAATCACATCCTTAAATAGATGCCTTGGGGATCACCAGCCCCTCCCAGCACAATTTCGAGTTAGAGCTAGCCAGTCCCCAAATGTAATCATGTGTCCTCCAGAATTTTCAAGGGTCTATAAGAACATTTTGTTAACTGGCAGCCTTCATATGCTTCATACTTAAGTGCGTGTTTTAATCTTCATTTAGGTTCCATGAAACCCCTTTCATCTGGTGACCTGAGAGCTGTGACCAATGACGCAGACAGCAAAGGAAACAGAACTGTAACTTTTACGGTTATAAGTCCCCCTAGACTGGGGAGGTTGGTGCGAGTAAATTCTGATAACAGCACAGAGGATGTTTCCGTGTTCACACAGAATCTGGTGAGTCCTGACATCCGTGGGCAGGGCTGGGTGGCCCTGCAGGGCGGCCCCTCACTTGTCCTCATCCTGCTAAGCCCAGCTGACGTGCCCCTTTGCCCAGGCAATGACTCATTTCAGCTGTGCTGGTTTTCAAACCAGACACTTTGCAGTGAGCACAGGATGACACAATTGTCAGAAAACTCTAAGCAAATTCGAACTCTGGGTCTAATAAGTGAAAAGGAATCCTTTTATCATGAAGACAGATTTAAAAGGAAACCCACATTATAAGGAAAGGAGGGAAACTGAGTGGGGAAAAATTAAAAAAATTAAAGAGGGAGACAAACCATGAGAGAGTCCTAACTCTGGGAAACAAAGGGTTGCAGAAGGGGAGGAGGGTAAGGGATGGGGTAACTGGGTGAACACTTGATGGGATGAGCACTATATATATATATATATAGCATATATACTATATGTTGGTAAGTTGAATTTAAATAAAAATATTAAAAACAAAAAATTAAAAAAAAAATAAAAGGAAACCCGAAGCCAAGGTGCAGGAGTAAATCCTGCAGGATATGTCTGGGTACATTTAGATTTAATATGTAAAGTTATATACATTATTTAGCATAGTATAGTTATGTATATATATATATACATAATTCTGTATGTGTGTATTTAATGTGTATCCAGAACCATCTGTTTTAGACTTCACTAACGTTTTACCACCACCACCACCATCCACATATCTTTTTATTTAAATGGATAAGCCTTCAAGTCTTTTGATATATATATATATTTTTTTTTCTTTTGCATCCTAGGAATGTGACTGGCTGGGTTTGTTTGCTTACATGTGATTTCATTTTTCTAGAAAGTCTGTGTTCCCAAATGATCTTTTTGGGATCATATTCAAAAATTCTTAGTTCTAATTCTAATTAATTCTAATTCTTGCTTGCCATTCAGCCTTCTTTTTCCATTCTTAAACAGTGTGTACATGGATTTGATTGATGATTTGGCTGTGGCTTTACATTTTAAGGAATAAAAAACATTCCAAAGTCAAGTTTAGAAGAAATAGCAAGAGTGAACCACATGTCTGCCTTTGACCTTCGAGCCATTTCTCTCCTATGTGATGTAGCAAAGCTGAATTTGGCTTTTGCCTTGCAATTAATTGCCTTTGTCTGTGATGCCTTTAAGGGACCAGATCATGAGGCTAGCAAAAACTCTGAAAGTAGCACTGAAAAGAGGAAGTATGAATTCTCTAGTTTACAGATGCACTCTGGAAGGAAGAAAAAAATAAATTAGGATGAAAACTATTTTCTGTGAGAAGTTTAGTGTGCCCAAGGGCATCAAAACCTGTCCAGAGTCAGTGTGCATTTTGAATAATGACAAGAATGATATCAGCTCTATAAAGATGCCTTGGCTCTGACCCTAGTTCTTTAAAAAACAAAACAAACAAAACCCCACTTTTTTTAGATGGTGATCATTTCAAGGATTGGTTTCCACTGCAAACATACAATATTTTAGATGAATATGATCTAACTAAGCTTTAGTGAATATGGTAGCCAGGATCTACTAGTTTATGCTGCAGTTACCAACAATTCCCAAACCTCAATGGCTTAAGATAACAAAAGTTGATTTTTCACTTATACTGTATATGGGCTGTGGAGAGGCTATGGGTCTGCTCTATATCTTGCCTTCATTCCAGCACCCAAGGTCAAAGGGCAGCCCCTCTCGTGGGTACTGGCTGTTTTTGCAGCAGAGGAAAAAGAATTGAGGTTAGAACCACATGATGACTCTTAGAGTTTGTGCTCAGATGTGCCATGTATCATTTATGCTCACATCTCATTGACTAAAGAAAGTCACGTGAGCAAGTCTGCTGTCAGTGGAGTGGGGAAGGACACTCATCTCACAGACAGGAGACCCTGAATAATTGGAACCATGGAACAATCTACCACAGTGAGCTAGCCTGGTAATCGGAACACTCTTTGTAATACATTTTCCTCTGAAAACAAACCACTTCTATAATCCACACAATTATAAACAGGAATTAAGACCCCAAAATAGGGTGCTTGGGTGGCTGTTGGTGAAGCATCTGCCTTCAGCTCAGGTCATGATCCCAGAGTCCTGGGATTGAGTCCTGCATCAGGTTCCCTGCTCAGTGGGGAATCTACTCCCCTTCCCTCTCTAATCCTTCCAGCGTTCATGCTTGCTTTTTTTTTCCTCTCTCTCTGTCTCAAATAAATAAATAAATAAAATCTTTAAAACCCCAAACTAGTTATAAGGCTCTAGGGCAGGCAATAAAAGTCTTGAGTGATTAAAATCCAATTATCTTAAGATTTTATTTTTCCTCTCATTATTCCTTCCACCTTAAGAACCAGGAGGCAAGTGTCAAGAAAATGTATTAGCAATGGCAGGTATTGGCTGGGCCAAGTGAGGTGTTAGATTGGAGCTTAGGGCTGGAAGAGACCTGCAAAGGGGTGTCTGGGATCAGGATCCTTGGGCCCAACTGTTGGTCTTTCCTGTGGAGATAGGGGGAGGCTGGTTTGAAAGCGCAGGCTGGGCAGTGCCACAAATCAGGTGTGGTGTGGAAGGAGGTCCATTCTTCTAGAATGGACCAGGTTTGTGGCTCTTCTCAACACACAAGGCCTTTCTCCTCCAAGGCCAACAGTCACCATACCAGCAGCCCAGCCTAGTGCTTTTGTCTCAGAGGACAAAGGCAAGCTTCTTTTATTATCACAAGGCACCAGACAGTATATCAGGCCTTTTATGAAATTACACTCCTGGACGGGACAAGTCCTGTATCTTAAAGCATCATCTAAGATATAGTTAGAGTCTGTAGATATTCAGCTCAGTAGCCCACACTCTCCTCTATGCCTGTGGTGTGAGTGTGAAGCCAACACCTCACTTAGGAATCAGGAGCCCTTTTGTGGCTCCTTGATCTCCTGCTGACTGCTAGTGGCTCAGGACAAGTCCCTTGGCCTCTAAAATCAGACCTGGATTAGCTCTGAGTTAGAACAAGTTACATGTCTTTTAAGCCCCAGTTTTCTCATCTGTAAAATGAGGAAAACAGTAGTAATCATAATTGAAGCCGTTTTGAACATTCACCATGTCCCAAGTGCTGTCCTAAACTTTCTTCTTTACTACTCATCATCTCACAGGCTGGGAACCTAAAGCACAGGGAAGTTAAGCAACCTGCCCACAGCTACACAGTTCAGGGGCAGCAGAAGCTGGATTTGAACCCAGGGCCTCCGATGCCAAGTCATGCTCCTATCTACCAGGCTTTCCTTTCTCCTAGGAGCTTGTGTATGGATTAACATGGATAATGGATGCAAAATGCCTAGCACATTGCTCCCCATGCAGCATGAACTAAATGCTTAGCTAAGGCTGCTGGTACTATCTTTTTGTTCTTAGAAATGTGAGAGGTTCCTTTCCTCTCCCAGTAGCCAAAAGACTGGTTTCACAGGAGAAAGCAATTTTTCTGGAACACCAGAATTGGCTGCCATGTTTATCCTAATGTGCTACAGTGATTTAATGAATGGAAATGAGGTCATTAGAAGGGAATGACATTTGCCTGCCACCCCATAACCCAATTACTGTTTCCCTTTGGGGAAAAGCCCCTGGTGTTCTGGAACATATTTCCCTTAGTGATGATGAGAGCAGGGGGCTGATGAAAAGTCAGGTCCTCATGCCTTGGGTGAAGCATTTCGACCTTGAGCAGAACATAGGCTGGGAGGCAGAATGAGGCCCCAGGGCTAGGGGCAAGGAGGCTCCAAAGATCCCATCCCAGCGGCCAGAGCAAGGAGGACCCACTGAAAAGACTCTTCCCTAGAGCAGCTGCTGTGGTGACCTTTTGCAGGATATATTTTGCAATATGTGTTTGACTAAATGCCTCTGAATAAATGTCATTGAAATACCCTAACTACTCCTCCACTTTAGTAGTCATAAAACACATCCATAATGTGGGGAGAGGAAAGAGTATGCTGAGAAAACTCTGTAAAGCTAGAAACCAAGTGCTAACTCTGTTTCCGTGTGTGTGTGTGTCTCTGAGTATGAAAATAACATGTGCTTCTTGTCAAAATAAAATTAGAAAAGATTAAAGCAGTGCATTTATTTTTTTTGTTTTTTTTTAAGCAGTGCATTTATATTGGAAAAAAAAACAGGGTATCATCAATAAATTCAGTACAACCAACATTAATCTGAAGACATTCCGATTGTGTTTAGCTTGTGTGTTCAAAAACGCAGTTTTATTTGTGACTTGGGAAGAGACAGAAACTTATTATTTATTTTCCTAGCTTTCCCATTTCCAGATCCTCTCTCCTTTTTCATATGCAAATGGAATGTAAATCTTTTCCTAAAATCTGCAATTTTATGGCCTCTTGTCTGAATAGGACCCTGGTTGCCATTTCATTAGGGCTCGGATTTACTACCCAGCAGCTCCAGAACAATTTGGGACATAAAAGAAGTGGTGGAGGCAGACTTTGGAGGTGATGAAGATAATCAAAACCTTTTCTCCGAAATTACTTAATGAAGACATTTATTGAGCATGTACTACGTGCTTTGATCAGCCCTCTTCAGTCTGGTTGGTGAAAAGAGATATGACTCAGGCAGGAATCAAGTTCAATTTTAGAAGGAGTTGGAACTATTCAGCCATGTTCATGTAATCAAATGGCTTTGAATGCTTTTTGGCATTCTACACCAGTTTTCCTAAATTCAGATTTTTCTAATTTCAGTTAGACAATGACCTAAGTGTCCAATTGGGAGAATGTTTTAGGCAGTTGATGGTTGAGTTTGCTTTCACACCTTTACCTTAAAAGATGAAATTGTTTCCAGCCCTCTACCACCCTCAGTGGGGAGGCAAAGCCATTGTATCATTTTGCACATAACCCATACCTTTTCTTACTTTTTTTGATGGATAAAGAAAAATGACCATTTAAGTCATTGACTCTAGATGGTTATAGCTTGTGAGAGAAACCTAGATACTCCATCATGCTTAATATCATACACTGGCAAAATAATTGTAGGAATGC